TGCAAAAACCACTTTGAAAAATGTCCACATCACGCAGTTCACTATTTATTAAGTTACACATTCTGTGCAACATATTAGTTTGTCCCAGATTAGTGTAAGCTCTAGGAAGTTCAAAATTGATATTCTTCTTTGTTAAATATGTAGGCACAATTAATCTTAATTTACTAATTAGAAAAGAACAATCGATTCTGCCCCAAATCAGTTTATACAAAAAAATTGCTTTAGTAATTTTTCTTCTTTTTTCAAGTGTTTAAAAAGCAAAAGGACATAAGGCAAAATAATAAATATCATACTTCTTCAGAGTAATACTGACGCCAGATAATCGAACAATATTCGAGAATACTCCTAATATATGCATTTTATAATAAATTCAACGTTTCTTTAATTTGAAAACCCCAAGAATTTCTAACCACAAAGCCTAACATTTTGTAAATTTTTTTGTTATGTTGCCTATATGTTTATCAAATTTTAATTGGGAATTAAAAAACACACCAAGATCCTTGCTTTCTGTTTTTCGTTCTATTATAGTTTCTTTCATTTTAAATTGATATATGATAGGATTTGAATTTTTGCTGAATGTCATGACATAACACTTGCTGATATTGAAATTTAGTTTATTTTTATTTATTTATTTCGAAATGATTTATAATCATCGGTAAAAAGGAGACTAAGTAAATTTGTTTTATTCTGTAGACAAGTTCTTCGAATAATTAATTTAATTTATTTAAATTTCTTTGTGTTTGCCTTTTTTAATTTTCTATATTTTTTATTTTTGATAAAATTAATTTATATATTCATATGTATTTTTACCTTTTTCGTAAGCTTTGTTCATAAAAAATATTCTTGCTTTTTACAAAACTTTTTGAATTTTTGCTGAATGTCATGACATAACACTTGCTGATATTGAAATTTTGTTTATTTTTATTTATTTATTTCGAAATGATTTATAATCATCGTTAAAAAGGAGACTAAGTAAATTTGTTTTATTCTGTAGACAAGTTATTCGAATAATTAATTTAATTTATTTAAATTTCTTTGTGTTTGCCTTTTTTAATTTTCTATATTTTTTATTTTTGATAAAATTAATTTATATATTCATATGTATTTTTACCTTTTTCGTAAGCTTTGTTCATAAAAAATATTCTTGCTTTTTACAAAACTTTTTGATTTTTTGCTGAATGTCATGACATAACACTTGCTGATATTGAAATTTTGTTTATTTTTATTTATTTATTTCGAAATGATTTATAATCATCGTTAAAAAGGAGACTAAGTAAATTTGTTTTATTCTGTAGACAAGTTATTCGAATAATTAATTTAATTTATTTAAATTTCTTTGTGTTTGCCTTTTTTAATTTTCTATATTTTTTATTTTTGATAAAATTAATTTATATATTTTTCGTAAGCTTTGTTAATAAGAAATATTCTTGCTTTTTACAAAACTTCTGGATTCCTCCTGCGTCGGTGTTTGCTTAGGCGAAATTGCTGACGTTTCGCCAATCATCCTGTTGGCTTCTTCAGAGCTTGACTGAAACTGTGTCAGTTTGACTGATTGGCGAAACGTCAGCAAGTTCTACTCAGCAAAAACCGACGCAGGAGGAATCCAGAAGTTTTGTAAAAAGCATTACAGTCGCCTGTGGAAGTTTCTTTGAAAAATTAAGAAATATTTTTTTGCTCGGAGATTAAAGTATACAATGCCATCTTTAGGAGAGGAAGACGAGGGCGTGGGTTGGCAAGGATTTCATGCATAAATTATCAAGGTTTCCCGAAGAAATCAGAAATATAAAAAAAATGCAGTGAACATGTCGTGTCTAAATTTTAGATTTTTGAGTTTTGCAACTCTGCAGCTCTGTTTATTCCTTCACATAACTCCAACAGGGCGGACACAACTAGACGAAATAATAAATAAATGCCATTAGAATTAATGCTAAATTTTATATTGCAATTTGGTTTTGTTAATCCGTTTTTCAGTTATTCTAGTAGATCAGATACATAAAAAATTTTAAACAAAAACTCCATTAGACGTTATACACCCACATTTTACGGGGTGGCCCGTTTATTATTGGATGATACCTTGTATTAGCGGAAGCTAAAATGAATTTGCGACGGTTGAAGCTGCACTTATCTTTGCGCAGCAAATCCCGTTTTGATGGTGTGGGACCGCGGTTAAGTGCTGCGAACCCACAACAGCGACGCGGAAATAGTTAAAACCCGAAAAGGAAAAGCAGTCTTCGGCGGTTTTTGGCGCTTGCCTGCAAACTCGACTTTTTTGTCGCGAATTTACAATCAACGAAGAAATCCCCGAAATCAAAAGAAGTTTTCCTTCGGCGTTTGCCAACTTGGTGTGCAATAGTTAATAAAATAAATATAATAAAATTATTCCAAATCAGCGAATGTAAAGCAACCTTATCAATATCTAAAGTACTCGGAGATATAGTTTTGATTAATTAAATATTATATTGTTTTATACACAGGACGTTTGTATTTTCCTTATTTTACATAGAATATCCTATACATTAAATTATTTTTGAATTATACCTAAGTCTCACTGTTTCTGACATATTTTGAATTTTACGTCAAAAGTAACGTTTGCAGGATTAAGTGTAAATATATCTATCGATTTCTTCGACTGAAAGCATTTGTCATACATTTCCTTTCTTCTTACTTTGGTGGTATGTGTTGATATTTTAAAAATAAATAAATACTAAAAACATAAAGACTTTGAAAAAAAAATGTGTTATTTTTTTCAAATAGAAACACTCTATTTTTATAATTTCATCATATTGGGCATTTAAATAAATGGCGACTTTGTATAAGGTTTCCGATTTTTAGATTTCGAATACTTTTTTTTTCATTGCAAAAACGCTGTGACGACGAAATATGACGAAAAAATAGTTTAGTTCTACGGAAACCATTTTGATTTTTTTTTTAAATGTCGAATATTAGTAAACAATAAAATTAATATGATTAAATTTTAAATTATCACTACAGTCCACTAAAATAGATCGCCTTCGATAAGGACGTCAACTTCAAATATATAACAAAGGCTAGTAATCCAGTCCAAATAGACAAAAATAGCTCAATACTTAAGCAAAATATGCATAGAGCTGTCAGACGTTAAATGAACCACGATCTATTGTAATGAAGAAAATTTGATCAGATCATATCCTATTGATTGAAAGTAACAAAATAATCACACTTTCTGACAGCCGCAATTGTTACTACAACCCGTCTTGCAGTTACAGAAAATAGTATTCAACAGTTTTTCTGGAGCAGGCGGGAGTAAAGTTTGAATTGGCTCCAAATAATTATCTCTTAATTTCCAATTCCATCCTTCTGGGTTCAGCTCATTGCCTAGCCACACTTGAACTTGATAATGCACACGATACAAATGCTGACAGACAGAAGCAGATGTTGGAGGTAGACAAGACAACTTACTGTTTTTCCCTACATTGTCACACTTTGTGATGAATATATTGTTGATTTTACTTGAGCTTTTCCAGGTTTCAGAAAGTAAATAATTTTTTCATGTTGAGTCCATGAAGTCAGTAGTATCAACAAATCAATATCTGCCCCTACAACGACAGTATATAGTGAATTATCTCGTTTACTTCCTTCAAAAATAGGCAGGTATACATACGACCATCCGCACTCGTACAATGACGTAGCTAGCAGATGGTACTCAAGGTTGCAGACAAAGGGAATTAGGGACTAACAGTATTGTCGTTTATCTTTAAATACTCGTTCAATTTATACAAGTTTTATTCTGTAAGTGACACAAATCCATAGTTTCTTATTTTTATTAATATTGAACGTTCGATGACGTGATCGGCTGCGTTTAAGTGCATATTATGTAAAATATGAATGTTCTAATAGTCGAAACCGCGATATCTCACTTATGGTGAGACGTAAGGAAAAAAGTGCCTGAAGAATTTTTGTAGAGAATTGTATCATCTACAACTTTTGTCAGACCTACTTTCACGATAAAACTTTCCGTTTTCGATAAAAATGGGAAAAACCTCAATTTTGTACGTTTGACCTGGAATATTTTTTTTAATGGTGTATTTAATGTCTCTGTCAATTTTTTGCTCTATGCGAATTTTGGCTAGGTTAATAGCATATTATGCAACGAGTGCGATAAACGGCATTTGACTCACTAGTTTATTTTTCACGAGCGGAGCGAGTATTTAATAAAGTAGTGACTTAAATAGTTTACCGAATGTGTTTTTTTTAAGTCACTCGTTTATTTAAAACTCGCTCCGTTCGTGCAAATAAACTCGTGAATCAAATACCGTTTTCCGCACCTGTTGCATAATATACTATTTTCTACGACAGTTAGTTTTTGGTAAAATTTTCGCAAAACGACATGAATACATTTACTGACATGAGCGTCAGGACTGACAAACGTCAAAATTCATGGCGTAGAAAATATCTCCGACAACCCGTGCGGTGATATCCCGGAAATGTCCGAAGTGGCTCGGATCCGTGGGAAACGAAACTGACGTGGTTAAGTGACGCTTCCAGCATGCTAGATCAGTTAGGTATTATACAGATGGGAGTAGAAAAATATTTTGACTGGTTTATAGATTTAGAGAATATTTTAGACCGGCAAACTTCAGAATCAGAATCGGCCAGACTCAGGTATATATGTTATGTATAAAACATATCTAGAAACCTCTGGGAAACTCAAAAACGCCTTAATATACCAGGTGTTGTATTAAAATACACACACCCAGTATATATATAGCAATATAATATTTTTAAGGTATAAGTGAATGCGAACAGTTTTTGTCTTTAGGATTTTCTGATATTTTAACCCATTCTGAGATAACATATCGCCCCATAATAAACGGACCACCACGTACGTAGGTAATGATAAATTTTATCATTGCTGGCTAACTCGAAATCGCATTGTCATTTGTTGCTATCCCTTGGGCGCCTTACATATAAATACGGTCGATTAGGAATTCCCTTCTGATTTATTTCGCTTAATTTCCCAGGCTCTCGGTAGTCACGCTCCCGTAGTTTCGACGAAGATCCTCGGCGATCCTGTGGAGCTCGACAGGCACCTGGTCGAAAATGGGTATGCGGAGGCGTTGGGTCCGCCCCCGGTCACGTTCAACCCCTACGTCTACGCCGGACAACCTACAGAGTTGCACCTTCACGTAAGTTGGGAACATGTTTAATCAAAATTTATTAAACTGAAGCGAGATGTTCCAAGTGTGTGTGTCCAATCTATTAGTCGAAATATCGATGTTTGGAAACTATGGGACAATCGGATCACCAAATTAATAAATATATCTAAATCGATTGATTCAAAATTAATTCATGTTTTGCTTTTCTCGCATCTCTCTTAGTTCGGTGTGTCTATGATGCAAGCAAGACCTATGGGAAAAACATTGGTTCAAAAGTAGTTTTGTAATTCAAAACATTTTCCCAAAACCAAAACCATCATCGATGAATGATTAATTGATCGAGTAGAAAATTCATTGTAGATATAAATGATATGATACACATTTCCAGTGAGCACAAAAAATTCTTTTAAACTTAATTTCAGGTGCTCCCAATATTTTTAAAAATATTTCCAGGGCGGTTGACAAAATTTACGAACTTATTTAAGCGAGATGCAAAATAGTTTTCATGCCAAAAATGCTCTCGTAGTATCATACTAATTAAATGAAATAGTAAATAAATAATAAAATTTGACGTAAAGAATGCTCTTTTCTCGTAATTTAATAGAATTTGCGAATGAACATTACTCATTTTCGTTCTTTACGAAAATTTTGATTATGTCTTAGCGATCTGTTCCTATGATTTATTATTCTTTATTCCCTTGTTTCGAAATTTCATATCTTCAATATTATATATTAATAACTCAAATTATTATTATTTTTAGGCTCAAATTTAGTAAATTTTTGGTAAAATTAATATAAACCACCCGATTTAAAAAAGGATATTGACTTCGTTAAATTATAAGTCAAAAATTAGTTAATTAAGGAAAACGAAAAGTGTAGACATTTTTGTTGACCAAATAAATTTTGTTCCAGTAATATTTAAACTTTGCAAACAAGTTTTTGCTTGCATGTCCTGAGTTACAATAATCGCTTCCGCTCAAGATGGATTAGAAACTACGCGTTTTCCTATTTCATTTGTATTGATTTCGATTGACTTCAAAAAGAAACCGAGAGAAATGACAGAATCATATCTGTAAATTTAAACATTTGATATCGTATATGTTGTATTTTAACATATGATCAATTATTTACTTTTAAGATGAACAAAAGCATTGCAAGTAAATGAAACTAAAATATTCCAGTAGTTTTGATGACACCACAATGTTATAATTGTAGTGTCAAATGCAAATTATGTAGGTCGTTTGAATAAAATTCCACCCGGTTAAACTTAAATAAAACGAATTATTTAAATTAAAATACAAATAATTTAGATGTCAATATGGCTTTCAACAGACCTGTAAAAGTAGTGTGAAAAGTAGTACCATTAATGAAAAATCGGAGCTGGAGGTAACACTGTTTCATTCCGGTGGGGAACCTCGTGCAGGCATGTTATATGTTCAGGAATCTCGGAACAATTGTTAATACGTCAGTAAAGAATGGAAATAAAGATATGAAAACCTTTTATGGGGAGCTTTCCCAAGTACGAACGAAATTTTTCTCGTATTTTTGTGACATCAGAAATTTATTGTATTATATGCCTCGTTGTTTTATCGCGATATTCGTGATCATAATACTTGAACAAAAAATGACTTCTTAATACCTTTTTACAAAACTACTAGAAAACTTTTTATGTTCGTGAATCCATTCCTATTTATGTGTGTTGGTTAATAGTTTCCGTTTATGTTCTTCGCCAGAAAATAAAGTTATTATTATTACTATTATTGTGTAGTCTATATCTGGAATCGTGGATGTGGTCAAAAATCCGCTTCCCATCGGTCGACTTCCCGACGTACCGCCCACTATTCCCGAAAACTGTCCGAAAGCGCAGCCTGCCAACTCTGAGCTACCGGAGACTGAAACCTTTACCGTTGTACTGATGAAAGATGATCTCGGACTCGGTATTACAGTAGCTGGATATGTTTGTGAGAGAGGTGAGATTTGGTGTTGCTATAGATTGTGTCCAAGATAAGCATGTCTATCATTAGAAAAAAAAAATGCAAAATTTAAAGGTTTAAAGATACAAAAAAATAAGTCACTTTCTCATTGCCACTCACAAGATACCGTTGAGACAATTTTATTTTTTCATATGGTCCGTGAAAAAACTACACTGTGTATTAAATAGTTCTAGGAGTATGATATCACACAGGTTCAATACAAAGTGAATTGAAATGGCCATAGTTATTCGCTTAATAAGCTGATAGGTTAGCAAAAAGTACAGATATTAACTGTATCCATTATTAATTTTTGACCACCCGGGAACTTATTCATACGCGATTAATCATCATAAAAAAAGTCATCGCTTTTATGTGGGACCTGTGAAGTCATCTGACATTTTTTGTTTTATATTGGTAACGTTTAGGTTTAGAATGCCTATTTTATTCGTTACTTTTATGAAACCCCTATAGCACTTAAATGGGGGATCTTATAGAGGTAACGATGTCCAAATAAAATTTTTACTCCCCATTTTTTTGCCAGGTTGCCGTAACCTTTATAAACCTTAACCAAGTTTACCAGGTTCGCCTTTAAAAAACGTATAGTTTTATATGAACTTTTAAGTAACAAACCTTGAAAACCTCGATTGCTTTGGGTTGTAAGTTACCAAAAAGGTATTGATAATAACTTTTGTAACCGCTGTAAAACTAAAAGTAACCGGAAAAGCACTTGAAAAATATTTATGTATTTGTTATTGACACAAGTGTTCTTAGATTTTTATGAATATCTACATATCGTTTAGAATTGAACTGAAAATGGCTTTTAATGTTGTGCAAACGAAAATCTGGGTGTAACAGTGGCTGTAGAATATTTATTAGGTGGTTTTAGATTTATAAGGGTTTTACGAATTAAGAAACTCAAGAGTAGAAATATTTAATAAGGTTTTTAAGAACCTGAAAAAGCTTTATAAAAAATCTAAGTTACGAACGCCAAAAGTTTTATACATAAAGTAAACTGCAACTTAAAGTGGTTTGCTATTGATCGGATGTCTTACAAAACTTGTGACTCAAATAGTTTCCTTATAAAATTACAAAAACTGTTATAAAAGCAAAGGTTTGTTACCTAATAAAACCTTAGGCGGCGAAATATCTAAGGAAGAGAATGACCGGATTCGATACAAAACTTTATTTAATTGTTTCAATTCACTTGGGTTTTGAGAAATTTGAATGTTGATGTAATATTAATTTTTGCTTTATTTTTACAATAATAAGTATTTCATTGGGGAGATAGATATGATTAAAATACAAATATTAAAAAAATGTCACTTATAAAAGTTTAAAGAATGCATTTTGGGTCCTTAAACAAAGTAAATTATTACATTCGATCTCGTTACGATCTCGGAAACCATAGGAGCCCCATATTGAGTAATATCGGTGCCTATCAATTTCCGAAAAAAATATATCGCAATTTTTTTTTATTTACATTTATTGACACAATATTCTCATTTTCAATATTTTTTATATGACCTACAAAAGTATAAGCAAGTTATATATTATCTACCTATAATACGGGGTTGACGTACAAAGTGTTTAAGAGAATTTACAAATAGCGATACAGATACAGATACATAGTATCTAACTGTCCACGGCCGTTAGGTATGTTTTGCTTCCGCGTTTTATTCACCAATAAACGCAAATTTGGTTTTAAAATACACGTTCGACGTTTTTTATTAGTAACATAAAGTTTTTAGCTTCTTTTTCCTCACACATTTCGCATGAAAATTAACCCACCACTAAAATTTTCGACAATTTCGATTTAGATATACTTTCTAGCTTAAATCTGTGTTATCAAAAGCATTTGTATTTAAATTTCAGTTTCAAATTCTCATAAATACGATTGGGTGTCGGTCTAAGTGAAGGCATGGCCCCATTTTTCCTAAGCAGCGGGTTTTTTATTCACTTCCTTGCGTATTATGTTTGAAAAAATTTGAAACGAAATACTTTGAAGCAGATTTTTATTTTGTGCTAATTAGTCAATATTTACATGATAATGTTTTGTACATCATCCAAGGAGGCTACCTGTTAATTATTTTCTATTTCTATTTCTTATGATATGGGAAGATCAAAAATAAATGCATTTTTTATTCAAACGATGAAATCGCAAGTTCGTTGTGAATATCACCAACGTTTTCCCGGAAAACCTAAAACGAATATTGAACTGAGGTGGCTTTTGCTTGATGAAAATCCATTTATCAAAATAAATAAGAACTGAAAGTTCAGATTTTCAAGAAATTATATATATTCACATGACAATTTTTTCGACAACACCGACATTTGATAAAGACACCGTGTTGTCGAAACAATTGTCATGTCAAAATATTTAATTGCGTGAAAATCTGAACTTTCAGTTCTTATTTATTTTGATACTGAACAATAAATAATAAATTCGAGTCATTTCAAAAACGGCTGAACCAAATACCAAGAAGGTATATTTTTGAAATAAGGTTAAAAAGGACTTTCATCCAAAATATAAAAAAATCATACAACTTTTGTAGAAAAAGTTTTTCACATTTCCCCTATAATAAACGGTAGGTGTCTAAAACTTTAATTGAAATAAAATTGTTTAACTTACAAGTTAAACCGAATTTTAGTGGTGCGTTAGTTTCGATGTACAGTTTCTTTCCAAATTGTCAATAAATTTACTACGCAACCTCGGCTCCGTGAACCAAGAACAGAAAAATTAAAAATTTCCAAAAGCCCGTGGGTAAATGTATCGCGTAAGGCATTCTATACACACAATAGACTTCGAAATGACAGGATGACAAATAACCCGGGTGTTAACTAGCGTACGTGAAATATTAATTAAGTTATATTGATTCGGCAAAAGCGCACCGAATAACGGTGACAGAAGAATGCACGCTGACAAAATGCCGCACGATGTGGGAATCGCACAAATTGCCCCGGAAAATTGGATATTTCGGTTTTGGCTGCGTCATTTTAAAATTACTGCGCGTTGTAAAATATTTGTGTTAAAATAATCCAGTAAACTTGTATTAACACCGTGATTAATTTAATTGTTTTCAATATTTTCACAAAAAATGAAAAATTCAACCGTTCCAGCTTTTATTACTTCGCGTAATCTTTTCATGGCGGTGTGGTTTGGAATTTATGTTCGGCGAACGTCAAATTGCCATTTTTAATAGCTCTTTCCTCTCTTAAAATGCGTTTCGGAATTATTCGTTAATTTCTGGACTGCAATAAAATTGACGGGATATGTGTTAAAGTTATATTAATGCACCATGGCTGTATATAGGGTGATCGACGTCAACGGTTCAATTGACATTTCCGCATGGGTGGTAATCTATATTTTAGGAATATTTTGCGGATCTATCTGAAATCAAGCTCGATTTTGAAATTTCAAATGCAATACTTTATATTTTGTGATGGATTGGATGGAAAAAATTAAATTAAATATGACTTACAATTCTTCTGGATTCCTCTTGTTCTGGTTGTTGATCATTAGAATTTGTTGACCAATCATATAGTCAACTTAAAAAAGATCCTACGTCATCTTTGGAATGCAACCTTAAATGTGCTATTTAAACTTCTTTATTAGAATCCGTGAAAATTTCTGTAATCCCTCACGAATATAAAATTCTTCGTTTCGACGGACTACCTAAGATTAACAAACTAGGGTTACCCTTTCGACATATTGTTAGCACCACTGGTTCTCCAACTTATCCTCTACTCAGAATATTTAGCTTCTAGATTAAAACCCTTTACAAGGACAATTGATAGTTTTGTACTTAATTCCCTTTACTTTATCGAACAATGGAAAACCATTACATTAGATCCAAACGATATTCTGGTTTATCTCGACATAGAGTCTCTTTACTAAAGTCTCTATTCCGGAAACTTTCAACATTATTGCAGAGATATTAAATTCTGAGAATTTGAAATCAAATTTTCTAATTTTAATAAAAAAATTCTTGTTTGGAATATATTTTCCTTCTAACGGTCAAATTTATCAACAAATATAAAGAACACTTATCGTCTCCCCATTAACAGCAGTCATGACAAATGTATTTATGGAAGCTTTTGACAAGAAAGCGCTTGTCACTTTCCATCAATCATGTTCTTTGGCCTTATGGTTAATAATCCCTTCCAGATTTTCTTAACCATTAATAAAAATTGGGGCCTATAATTTACAGAACGCAGAACGATACCTTAATGCATTGTCACATCATCAGGGCCATAAATCTCTACCCGAATCACTGACCCGAGTCTCAAAACACCTAATATCTGCTCTTCTCTCAAATAATTTCCACATTAGGGATATTAAGCGTTCAATTTCCAAAATACACTTTTCGCCACAACCCCTCACAGAAAGTGAGTCAGAAAGCAACTCCACGTTTGCGACTGTGGTTATTCCTTACATTCAAGATATTACTGACCACCTATCCAAAATATGATTTTAAAACCAGATTAAGCATTTGTAAAAAAATTTTCTTCAATATCTTCCATCCAAGGCAAAAATTCCGTTTGAGACACCAGGAGTTTACAGCATTCCGTGCATATGCGGCAAAGAATACATTGGAGAGACAAGACAAAGACAAAGTGGTTAGTTTCTCTGAAAACACAGAGTATTTTTTTACGCAGAATTTGAAATATTAAATATATTATATTAAAATATATAAAAATATATTAAAATATTAAATATAATATCTTTTATACTAATATTTTATTAGTTATCAACCGAAAAATCGACACCCAGTATATTTTTGGAGATAATTGAAAATTAATTTTAAATCGCCTGTACGCATACTTGAAATTTCCTCGAGTTTTTGAACAAATAGGCCTTGGAGAGTGTCACCGTAATACAGAAATCAAATGCGTGGGCTGATTTTGGTTGTAAAGATGCAAGGTTTTAGTTTAACTTTTTAACTAAATTTCAGAGAGTCAACTGGTACTGTGTGGCATGCATGTGTTTTCTGTTAACTCTAGTTCTTGCTAGTCTTTAATTTTCAATTTGACGTTGTAAAGTCATTGTTAACGGCTCCTAAAACCCCTTTCTCGTATAATTTATAGGTAGTTCAAGTATAACAATTGAGGTATTTGTGGCTTAACTTTCATTTAGATATATCAAAGCGTTTCAGAAATAAAAAAAATATTTTAGAGGTACCTGTTACAAAGTCGTCGAGGGAGGCGTTTTCTGGGAAATATTAGGGAACCATTTTTTCAAACACCTTGAATATTATTTATTTAGGTTGAAAACTCTTCTTAACTGTAAGCGTAAACGTTAAGTTTACTCTTACATGACAGCGGCATTGAAACCCAACTTAGTTTATAGAAGCATAATGAATGTACTTTTTAATGAATTAAATTATTAATTAATTAATTATGTACCTACAAAAGAAGCTCGTGATTATACAGTAGAGATCTACGCAGATACAGGTGTCATTTAAATTTTATTGCACATAAGAGATCATAGAAAATTTCTAGCACAAGTTGACCGTGTGTTTGAGTTTATGCCTGTCGCTTAGCGTTAAAAATAAGGATATGCTTATAATTATTAAGATACTAAATATCAAGATAATAATAAAATTTTTGCTCTAGGAAAAAGTGATTTTGCTTGAATGGCTTTAGCAATCGGAAGTCTTCAGTATAGGTACATCTCTTCAAAGTCCTAATTTTATAATAGTAAAAATAATAAAATAATAACAAAGATAAATATCCTTCCAGATAACGAAAATTCTATTGTATTAATAATAATTTTATTTATTTCAGAAGAAATATCCGGAATTTTCGTAAAGAGTGTAAGCGAAGGAAGTGCCGCCGACTTGACCAAAACTATAAAAATCAACGACAGAATAGTGGAGGTATGTTACTAACAATTGAGTTTGTTACAGTTCTGCGGGTCGTCTGTCGCATCTTCCTTTCCACGCATCCTTATCAATCCAATATTGTTCTTCCATTTCCCTGCTTCTCTCTGTACCCTGTGTTTTACCTATCTATATGGCGGTTGCCAATTTAAAATCTATTTCTTCCGGTTGTTTAAAATATCACATATAGTCTGTATGATTTGTAATGGCCTACCAGGCAGAATAATATAGATTGTTCATCTTGTTTCCACTTATACTTCAACAGATGTTGTTCTGTCCTAAAAGTCTTTCTGATGAATGCAAGACAGTCGTCACTAACGATCCCGATTATATTACTTGGGAATAAGAGAGATACAACCAATTTTACTTGGCATTTATTAATTTAACTAGTACGTACATACTCAGAGATGTATTCATGTATTTTTTATGTGATAATAGATCAAGGTGTTCATTAATGATATGATTAATGATTATTTAAGTTGGTGAATCTACATGAAAAAAATATGATAATTTGTTAAATAAACTGCTGTCCAAAAACTCTGTCCATGCAATAAAAATTAAGATAATACCAAAAAAAAAGTATATCATACCGTATAAAATATAATTTTCCAAGGGTAAATACACAATTAAACCATATTTAGTGTGTATTTACGATGAAACATCTTCATTATCAGAGCCAGAATTGAAACTGCTACTATCAAAAAATGATCCTTCCTGTACATTAATAACAACTTTTTGCCAGGAATATTTTATTATATTTTTTGTATGTGTTATAAACTGACACAATTCTCTTTGGTGACTGTCCAAACAGATACTACTTCGTGCCATGCCTCACTTACAATATTTTTATTACAAAATATTTTGCACAGAGTAAACACCACGCCAAGTTTGTTTTGTAATTTTTTATAATTTTTAACAACTCACATTTTAGACTATTTTCTGGGTAATTAATCCGTTTATTCCGCAGCCAATTGATAATTTATTCTTTTCGTGTCGATATATTTGCTATAGTTTCACTAATTCTAGAATGATATCTTGCATTATCCATAAAAATTAAAGACGAGTTTCGGCAGCAGTTTCTCAAAAATCCTACCCTTTTTTGTCGTGGTGACTGCTATAATTATTAATTATGCACTATTAATGCGGAACACCGTCACGTAAATTATTATAGGAGTGGAAGCAGGTAAAATAGTGAGCGACCTTCTCTCTTGGTTTTATGACCGACTATGCTATAGCAAATCGTACCGGCTATAGTCCCTGTGGGGGAGGGGGTTAATCGGGCCATCCGCTTTTTCCAAGGTAATAAATATAATTAATTTACTTAAAAATAGTCACATAACTGTAAGAAGTCTCTTAGATCAGGGAAAATACACTAGACGAAATGAAAACTGAAACTGTAACAAAATTACCGTCAAATTTTTTGTTTAGGTCAACGGTTTATCTGTAATAGGATACACGAATCATGAAGCCGTCGAGCTGTTGAGAAATACCGGTCCGATGGTTAATATAAAATTCGAACGATATCTCAGGGGTCCCAAGTACGAGAGGCTGCAGCAAGCGATCAAAGCGAACGAGCTTCGACCTCCATCACCCTCCTCACCCACAGCGTCTTCGCTGCCAAAAGTGCCGCTCAGTTTAGTGGTAACGTAATTTATTAAAAGTTCATACAGAAATGGCTGTTGAAGTATATCAATTTAAAGTATTTTCTTTTGCTATATCACGCCTAGACTCTAGACTCTATTAAAAGATAGGAAGGAATGGCCGTGGCATTTTTTAAACTAATTGTAACACTAAACTAACCCTAGACGAACAAAAGGCTTAAAATAAGTGTCTTAGTCTCAGTCTTTTTTGTTTCGTTTCTTCGTAGTCAGTCGCGACACAACTCTTCCAGCACCGACCTGTGTTTACAGGGGAATATTCTCTGACTAAATTATTTATTGATATTCATAAGTAGAATTTTCTCTATTAGAACTATTGGGACCATAAGAGGTTTGATCTTTATTTTTAAAATATTTAGGACTTTGCAGCGTTGCCAAATTTACTCGAACCAGACACCAAGAATTATGAAACTTTCTATATAACATATGTTGCAGTTCTCTTGAAGTATTTTGGAGATAAAAATAATTTTTTAGAAAAATTTTGCGAAAGGCTTTAACAATTTTAGACAAAAATCTTAAATTTTGTTTACAGTTTTGACAATAGGATACTCATATATCACATTATCATATAACATGTAAGTTATCGCATATAATGATTCAAATTATATAAAAGTCAATTAAACGCGAATTTTAACTCTCTTATTGCGGCAATAATAAGAATACTTATTTTGAGCCGTTTTGAAGTTACAAGCAAAGAACTAAAATACAATATTGCGATTTAAGCACACAAGCATGGGGATGTATTTGGACAATTCAATTCAATTAGATAGCATTTATAAAATAAATTCTTTTTTTTTTATTAGTTTTTGCAATTTTTATATGGCGATTTTATATTCAAATAATGATATATAAAATTTATTTTATATATAAAATAGTTTAAGGGATCTATAAAAAATTTCGTATAGAAAGTTTTAGAAATTTTCAAAGAATCAAAAAATGTAGGACATTTAGAAAAATGAAAAGTGGTGTCCGACTAGAGTGGAAATGCTAAGGTGTCCAGTCAATTTTTAGTCATACGAATTTGTAAATAGATATAACGCAAAAACGTTATATACACACAAAAAATCCGCAACGGAAATAAAAATTTTGAATTATTAAAACATAGTAAATTCACTATCTATATTTACGGTGGATTTACGCAAATATCCGATAAAATTGACATAAATGTAAACTGACTTTATAGGCAAAAGCGTCTTATGTATTGTTTTAAACCTAACTTTTTGAATTCAAACTGCAAAATCGATCGAGTGCAACTGAAAAATAATTTTTTGATTATCTGCTTTTTCTACCAAAGGCCACCAAAAATAAAATATAGGTTTTAGTTTAATTAGGAAAATTTGTAGCTTAGGTCAGAATTTATGGAAAATAATTCTAAATTCCTGAAAAACAAGTCAGAATTACTGACACATAAGTCTTTGGAAAAGGACAGCGCCCATAAAAATATCAGATTGGAAGGTAATTCATAAATAATGCGCAACCTCAAAACTCGATACCAAAATACTATGAAGTTTCAACATTTGATTTGTAGTTTTTTTTAATGGCTATTACCAAAATTGTCATTATTATATATTGTTTTTTTATTGCTCGTCTTATTGAACTTTTTAAATGCGAATTCGTTTTGGGAGTACTTGAAAAATTAAGCATTTTTTTAGATTTTTATAACGTTTTAACCAAAACTCGACAGACAAACTAAATATATAATTTATTATTATTTATATTAATTATTATATATTTTAAAATCTGACTCAATTAATAAGTACCTAGTATTTCCAGTTTTGGTTAGTTGGCAACTGAGCGATATTAAAATGAACACATCGCAAGGGTCTGTATGGAACAATAAACAATAAAGGAGAAACTAGACGTTTTGACTTATGCCGTCGTCTGACCATGGCAAAATTAGCGACTACCAAGCTAAACACAATCTGGATAGACAAATCGATCACTTAAACAACGAAACTAGGGGATGTTATAATTTTCCCCATTACAACCTACGCAGCGGAAACATGAATTTTAAACAAAACAGATAAAAACGGAATAGAGGCTTTCGAAAGGTGGGTTTATAGACGACTCATATGAGGCTCGCAGAGCATTGAACCAACATATCCGTGTTACAAGATCAGGAACAATGGAACAACTATTTCTAAAAGGAAAGTAGAAGGTAAACACCCAAGAGACAGATGTCAAAACTAGATGGGTAGACCAAATTTCTTCTTCTTATTCTTCTACTTGGTTAAGATCAAATGATCTGTTAATTCCTTGCTTGTCGTTGTATTAATTTTTGAGATATGGACTGCCAGCTGTCTCTCGACCTCTTCGGCGGTCTACCGGGCGGACGACTTCCTACTGGTATTCCGTCGAGAGCTATGCGGGGTAATCTATCTTCCCCCATCCTCTTGACGTGGTTATACCATTGCCTTCTTCTCTGTCTTCCCCATCTTACAATATCCTGTACGTCGCATTGTTCTCTTATGTCGGTGTTTCTTACGTGGTCTCTTCTGGTTTTGCCAGCTATTGTTCTCAGCACCCTCATCTTGGCTACGCGCAGCATTCTCTTTGTTTTGTTCGTGTCTTCGCTTGTTTCTATCGCGTACGTCATTATTGGTTTAACGCTTGTTTTGTATATTTTAATCTTACTGTCCTTCCGCATGTATCCGTTGGCCCAGACAATCTCTCCTAGACAGCCAGAAGTTGCTGATGCTTTGTTGATTTGGTCCCTTAGATCTTTTGTTGGGTCGTGGCCGCTAGACATGTTCATCCCAAGGTACTTAAATTGCATTACCTGTTCTATGGACTTATCTCCAACTACGAGCTTGCATCTGATTGGTTCCCTGGTGATTGTCATATTTTTTGTTTTCTCGACCGATATGGTCATATTAAGCACACTTGATAGAACTTATCTTTGTAGGTCGTTCTCGTTTTCTGCGAAAATTGCTGCATCGTCGGCGTAGCATACCATGTTGATACGTTTGTTGCTCATTCTGTATCCCATATTTAAGGTTGCTACTTCTTCTATGATTTTGTCCATAAGAAGATTAAATAAGAGCGGGTCTAATTCCTCCTGGTGTTGGGATGCTTTTCGTGATATGTTGTCTTGATTTCATTTGAGTGGAGCTGTCGGTGTTGAGGTTGTAGATTACCTTTACTATGTTGGCTGGTGTTTCTTTTTCCTTTAATATATTGATGACGTCACCTAGCTTGACCTTGTCAAATGCTTTGGTTAGGTCGATGAAACAAATGAATGCTGGTGTATTATTTATCTATTGCCTTTTCCTTTATTTGTTTGGCAGTAAATATTGCGTCGGTTGTTGATCTTCCCTTTCTAAATCCCTGTTGTTCTTCCCTATTGATTATGTGATTCTCCAGTTTGTCTTTTATCAGGGCTGTGAACAGTTTCATTGTTGTACACAGTGGGGTTATTCCTCTGTAGTTATCAGGGGATGTTTTTTGTCCTTTCTTGAAGATGGGAATTGTTATGTTCATGTGCCATTCGTTTGGTATTTCTCCTGTGCTCAGGATTTTATTAAACAGTGATGTGAGTGTTGTTATAAGCTTATGGCTTATGACCAAACAAAACCCTTAATAAATATAAGACTGCATGATGCCGTAAGGATCGCGCGAGATTAGGCAAGCATATCGTTTGGAAGGGATAATGGAAAGAGTTTAGAGGGTGATATACAGGGTTTTTCGATTGGTACGAGAGACTTATCTCAGAAATTAGTTAGAAATTCTAACTTATTCCTCAAAAAACTGCGTTATTAAACTTGAATCTGTATTTTATTTTTGGTGATCTTTTAATTGATTTACTAAATGCCACCGTAGAGAGTTGTTTTATCAACTTTTATGTTAGTTTTAAATTAGTCCTAAATTAATGCTTAGATGCTTGCGTCAATCCACCATAACTTTAATTAGAATCTTTTTTAGCATATGAGTCACTTGGGAATCGAACCAGAAGGAGAGTCTCGCACAAGTATAGATTTCGATTCTGCCGTGCTGTTGGATAACGACGAAGAGGAAATCGTAATCGGGGGACGAAAATCGCTTGACTTCAGCATCTCTAGCCGCGAATCGATATACGAAAAGTGGCGGTGTAAATTTCCAGAAGACGTTCGTATTGTCGTAAGGCCATTCCAGATATGTTTTTTTTTGCTGCGATTGCATTTTGCGTAATTTTAGATTGCCCAAATGCATAAAGGGGAAAACAACGGTCTAGGTATAAGTCTGGAGGGCACCGTGGACGTAGAAGACGGCACGGAAGTCAGACCGCACCATTACATACGAAACATTCTTCCCGACGGTCCCGTCGGAATCTGCGGAGTGCTGCAATCTGGCGACGAATTAGTGGAGGTAGGAGTATTAACGATATCAAACTGATCGACAATAAAAAAAATCAAATCCACTTTCCCAAAATAAAGACACTGTGCGTCGTATTTTATTTCTACGGAATCTTAGCATACGACCAAAAATATAGTGCATTTATTATTATTATTAACCGCAGTTCGCAGGACCGCAGATGTTTATTCTGCATTAAGTAGCTCTTCCCTGAGATGGACCGTAACGAATATTTGTAGAAACTCAAAACAAAACAATTTTTTTTGAAACGTAAATATACCGTTTTAAATTAAGTACGTTTACTTTAACACCAAATTGCAATATGTTCGTATATATTATGGAGGGATTTGACAGTGATTCTTCCAGTAAGTATGTATTTATGTACCTGATTCTCGCGCTTCGACTCTGCGAGGCTGTTTTCACTGGATAGTTCAAAGGGTAAGGGTAAGTACCTGAACTCTATTTTTCTTACAGGTAAGTTTGCAAATAATCATTTTTGTCTTGTGTGCCTGTCGATTAAGGACAATCTTCTTATATTTTTGTGTCTTCTACATAGTTCTTCGATTTGTAAACAACAACAGTCTTTCTTAAGACTATAGATTATGTTCGTGGTAGATAATCATTTCATTAATTAATTAAAGATTAATCATTTTTTGAAGGTTCCTGTTTTTTAAGACTTTAAAATGTGGAGTCAAGAGAAAAGTGAGAGAAGATGCTAGTACTGCGCGAGTTTTCGCAATGGAGGGTGGATTATTAATTATTTTAAAAAATTTCGAGAGCAAAACAGGCCAATAGTATGTTTAGACGAAACGTAGTTCGACACTCACGACGCAATAAGAAAAGGATGGTGTGAAAACAGTAACAAGTGTGTACTAAACGTGCCGCCTTCACATGGAAAACGCATAATAATTCTTCATGCTGGGTCCAAAAATGGTTGGGTGGAAGATGCTTTATTTTTGTCTGCCAAAAACGTCATAGTGTGGATTACCATGAAAACATGACCGCGGAAATATTTGAGGACTGGTTTGAAAATAAACCAAAACTATCGCCAAATACTGTTATTGTGTTGGATAATGCCTGGTATAATTCAGCCCAAATTAGAAAAATTTCAAATAATCTTTCAAATAAAGAAGAATTTCTGTACAAAAATGATTTATATTTTATATAATAATAAAGACTACAAAATCGATTCGATAGCACAACAAAACGGATACGAAATCTCGTATCATTGTATATTTAACCCGATTGAGATGATTTGGTTTGAGTTAAAAGCACATATAAGAAGAAATAACACTGCATCAAAATTGAGTGATAGTACCATAAACGTAATTCGGCAAGAGGTACCTAAAATATAACAAAGCTGGTCTAACTGTGAAAAACGAGTAATAAAAGAAGATAATATTTACCGAGACGATTAGTGGCGGAGTTGATCATTGAACTAGATGACGACAGTAGCGATAGTGACTATTTTTTAAGTGACTGACACTTTATTATTATTATTATATTTAATATGTTGTATATTAATAATGATACTATGTAGAAATGCAATGAAATAGAACGTAATAAATTATTACTTTGTACTAATTTTTTTACGTACATGTTTCAAGAATTATTAGTGTAGGTAGATACATTCTTAGGACGGTCCTGGTGCTCGACAGGGTGTTCTGTAAGAGGCTGCGGTTTTGGAGTAATGGGAACGGTTGTAAAAGCACTATAGTTCTGGTCCAAGTGTAACAGTTTTAATGACGTCCAATAAATACCAAATTACTTTAAGGTTGATAATATTACATCCAAAACGTTTCTGTTAGTTTATCTATAAAACCTTTAGGGGGTTGGCTACGTTAGGTTTCATAAAAAGGTTTCACAGCGTCCTTAAAAACGAAGTCATAAATAACACTTTTAGTCTTTGGGTTTTATAACTCAATCACCCAATCTTTATAAATCTTAAAGCCCCTAATAAATATTCTACAGTTACTGTGAAACTCCGACTCCCATGCGCTTGGAATCACCGTCACAGACAGTGCTGTTTTCCACCTTCTTTTACGTTTAGGTTACGAACATTTTTATAAATACGTAAATAAGTATTCCAAAATCAACTTAGGTTTTTTGCACCAGCAATATTGCTGTAAGATTCTTGGATAAGTTTTTTAAAAGTTTCCAAGGTGTTTAATATTACTCACTAACCAGAACTATAAGTTATTCAAAAGTGAACCTAATGAACCTGACGTCTTTCATGTGGCGGCCATTGTTTTTTCGAATTGAAAGAAATAATAAACAAAAAGGCACGTGTACCACAAGCTAGGGCCGTATTTAAGATGTTAGCTGACAAGAACTATGCCGTGCTGACTGCTGTATTTTAATCCGTCATTTTTCGGCATTTGTATGTGCAAAGTACCGAAGTACGGTTCTGGAACCTCAAAAAGAAACCCAAGCGAGGTAAGCCTGGCCTTAGACCTTCAGAAAAATTGACCAAAGTTAAAGACCGGATTATGTCGAAAAAATGGTATATGGTTTGCAGAAACATAGAGTACAAAATTTGTACCAGTAATTTCCAACTATATTTTGTCAAATATCTCGTATGATAGACAAAAATCCAATCAAAATTGTAAACAAGAAAGTTGTTGCTCTCGATATGGCCCACATAGCTGCCAAAACCCCGTATTTCGCGTTCTATCATTTGGGGCTAATAATTTACCGCCGGAAAAGATCACACACCGTAATCGACAAAATGACCAAAATGAAAATTATAGGCCCAGATCTCCCAGGTTTCCTGGTTCAAGAATTTTTCTTGTATAGTAAATTGTTTTTAGAATTTGTTTTCTGAAACCAAAAAAAAACATTTCTTGAAGTCTGATGGTGCCCAACTTTTACTGGATACATACCATGTAGACTTTCATGTTAACGGCAAATTTCAAGTCGACGACTGCATATTTTGGACACATATTTTAGCATAGTTCGGCATGTTGTATACCTTGTATGATATGCTAAAGTCAACCTAAATAGCAAAATCAAAGAAATCGCCAATTGAATCGTGGTGTTCCGTGTTCCGGTTCAAGAATTTTTGCGTTCCGACGACGGTTCAAAACGCGGCATTTCCGTTAGACCCCTACAAATGTGGTTTTTAACATTTTTTAAACTACTTATCGTTAGACCGAGCTCTGTATCTCCTCTCTTTAGGGCTCTTTCTTGCCTTGACAATTGAAATTACATCTATGTAGTATTCTAGATGTGGCGCTAAAGTGGATAAAATCATATCTAATATGTACCGGCTTAGATAGAAATATATCAAGCCCTGCTTTTGCCACCTTGGCAATTCAACAAGGAAGCGTCATTGATCTTATTTTTTTAATTGACATTAATGGCATAACAAAATTGCTCACCCGAGTAGAAAATTTTAAAATAACGAACTATGCGAACAATAGAACTTTTTTGTTAGTTAACACTGATATAAATATTTTAAAGGGCGCTGCCACGAACTGTTGAATATCTTTAAACATTGGTTCACTAAGAATACATTAGTTGTTAATAATAACAAAATAAATATAACATTATTCAAGACGACCAAGTTCAACTACTTTGAAAGCCTATAAACGTCAATGACTATAAGGTAGAATTAAAAATATAAACAAATTCTTGGAGATGTTTCTGTTGACTTGTGGTTCCCGCGTTCGTTATGTTGTTGGTTAATTATTTATTTAAGGTGTGTTATACTTTTGTTGTCGCCTTAAAACCCGCTCCACAGAGAGGAAAAAACAGAAAAATAACAAAATATACTTTTCTGATCGTTCGCTGATCATTTCGGCCCAAACGCAAAAAAAGATCACCAAATTATAATTCATAAAATCAAAATAAATTTGTTCATTATATTCATATTATAGCTTTTTTTACATTTAAGAATTTTTTTTCCACTCCCGTCTGTAAAATGCCTAATTACACACCGATCTAACATGCGGGAAACGTCACTTCACCACTTCAGTTTCGTTTCCTACGGATCCGAGCCACGTCGGACGCCTTGAATTTTGACATTTGTCAATTCTGACGGCCATGTCAGTGAATGTATTCGTGTTATTTTGCGAAAATGTATCCAAAAACTAACGGTCGTAGAAAAAGTATAGTATACAACACGTTCGGTAAACTTTTTTTTAAGTCGTTTATTAAAGACTCGCTCCGCTCGTGTCAAATAAACTCGTGAGTCAAATGCTGTTTACCGTACTTATTGCTTAATATACTATTGTATGCACATAAAAATTACCGTAGCATGGTAGAAATGTAAATTGTATATGTTATAGCTCTGACTATTCAAGTTATAGTACGGTTTCTAATATTTTGTTATATTTAAGAATTTTGTGTGCAGATAAAAATTACAGTAGCATGATAGAAATGGAAACCTCAATATTTTCAATACAAATGCCCCAGAAACGTCAGGATTTGGACGAAGTTTTCTTTTGGGTCCTCGGTAGATGGCAGTCAATGTTATGAATCCGACTTTAGTGTTATAATACGTTCGTCTTAACACATTTGATAAAGACACGGTGTTGTCGAAACAATTGTCATGTCAAAATATATAATTGCGTGAAAATTTGAACTTTTAGTTCTTATATATTTTGGTAAATGGATTTTCATCAAGTAAAAGCCTCCTCAGTTCAACATTTTTTTTACTCCCAACTCTAAAATACTCAAATATTATTTATAATAATTATTTATAAATGAGTGTCTAACGAGGGTTATGAGTGTTACATTCTGGGTACGTTTTTGCAGAACGAGTTGCGTCTACGTGACCATGACCATGACTAGCTCATTCACCACTTCAAAATTGCTTTAAATCTACGAAAACTATTCGATCGTTCCTAACCCGGGACTAAAGTAGCCAAAGCGTTCGAATTGGCCCCCCAGAGTGTTTAATGTTAAACATTTCTTGAGAAATAGGATAAATCGTTTTCTTGCGATTACGGCGCCATCTACTGAGAATCCAAAAGAACAATTCGGACAAAAATTAACTTTTTTTCAACTTTCACCAGTTGGCCAATATTTATAGGCATTTTTTGTGTCACTCTCGCCATATTGCAGAGTTTGCATACTTTGTGGACAACCAGTATATTTAAAAAATAGTTTTGATCAGAAATTAATATCAAATACCCCACCGTAAAGCCAAGACTTTCGTGTATATTTCATAAATTCCGATCAGAACAGAAAATTTTGTTTTAGGTGAACGGTATTCAGCTTTTAGGTCTGAACCACTTGCAAGTGGTATCGATCTTGAGGCAACTGCCATCTTTCGTTAGTTTAGTATGTGCGCGGTATCCGATTCCTATGAGGGTGATCGATACTTCCCAACACCCACAAGCCTTCCAAGCGCGGGTAAGTTTAGTTTAAGTACATTGTAACTTGTCATTCGGAGATTTTTTTCCCAATCGCTGTAAAATATTTGAGACGTAGGTAGACAGCAACGCAACGTATAATTATAATAATAAAAAAAAATTGTCACGGAATAGCTTTTTTACTCGGTTAAAGTCTTCTATAATAGTTGGAAATCGCGCAAGTTTAACGAAGCTGTATTCATTAAATACAATGGAAACATCTTTAACAATCCAAGCGTGGAAATACCTACAATCTTTCAACTCTTAATAGTGCACCAATGATGGAGTCCTAGCGTCAATCCAAGTAAAGAAGTTCTGACACATTTTAGAAAGTACTCCTAAAGCACCGTTAGCAAAGATAATAAAACATAAAACCGATACTAAAAGTTGATAATTTATCATATCAAAGGCCTTGGAAAAATCCAATAAGACGAAAATAGTTGCGACACAATTATTAAACCCTTTCGCTATATCATCCGTTACATGAGGCAGCGCGCTGGAACACCAGTCCTAAATCAGGATTCCTTACATGAAATGGTATTAATCAAATTTAGAAAGGTGAAGTCTGATGCACTATTCATCATGAACATGTGGGAGTTTATACTTACTAAAGATCAAAAATAGATTTAGAATCCATAATGATTAAAATATATTTATAAATATATATTGAGATTGAGAATAAATGTTATGGTTCTTCAAAACCTGTTGCAACACAGTGAAATTATTTGTTTAGCCCCAGCCTTTTGTTCCCACTTAAGACTAAACAACTTTTGTATCGTGCTACCGTAGTGCATATTTTTAAATGCTATATAACAATAAATAGTGTCCCCATCGCTTTCGCACTCTTATTTTTCAAAAAATAAAAAGGTTCTTCGTATGAAAAATGAAACTTTTTGCAGTAGAAAAACAAACGAAATCAAAGTAAATTCTGAGTTTTGCTTTGCGTGGTACGAGTTTAAATTGGCAATGAATAAATTGAACTTAATTTTATTCAATTATTCAAATACATTTTAATTAAAATGGATTTATTAGCACGACATAACAACCTTTGACATAATATGCGTTTAATAGCTTGGAACTAATTTATTGTTCCGAATATTTTTCTATTAGTATCGAGATTTCGTGGAAAATGTCTAACGGTCGATAGGTTCATTTTTTTCCGTCGCATTTCAGAAAATACTGGCCGGTAGTTTGCAGAATCTGATACAGCCCGCAGACCAGAATTTTTTAGTAAAAGCAAAATCGGAAATATCTATAGTGTCCAGCGTCGGTAGTGAGGCCTGCACGACGAACAGATCTAGGTCCCTGGAGATTATTGCCGGATTACCCATGTGGTGTGAAGAACCGATCACTATAGAATTGAACAAAGGCGAACACGGCTTGGGATTTTCCATTTTAGATTATCAGGTATTTCGATTTTATACGGACTGCCTGATGTTTAACCGAATTTAAGGATTTCATTATGTACAGGGTGGCCCGTTTAAGTAAAAAATGAATACAATAGTTGTTTCAATTAAAATGACCTTTATTTTTTTTATTTTCCCAATCGTCACTTTTCTATATACAGGGTGGTAAAACAACATTTTTTAAATACGCTACATACTCATATATATATATATATATATATATATATATATATATATATATATATATATATATATATATATATATATATACAGTGTGTCCAAGATAAGGATGCACAGCATGGGGATCTCGGAAACTATAAGAGATACAGTGTCGGTTAAATTAGACAAAAGTTGCGCATTTTGATACCGAACAAGATCCCGTTTTACAAATTTGAAAATTCCAAGCCGTTCCGGAAATATCCGAGAAAAACCGAAATATTGCGATTTCGTTTTTATTATTTTTTAAAGCTATTTGAAAAGATATGAAAAAACGGAAAACACTTTTCCATTGGCACTTTTTAATCTCTCTAAATTGACGTTAACAAATTTTCATTACAGCGTTTCGATTCCATGGAACCACCATCAACTTTGATTTTTCTTATGGGACGGAAAAAAAGTACACACAGTATTAGGTTGTGCTTTTCATTGCGAATTCAACGATGTACGATACAATATGGTTACTTATGTTTTTATCCAGAAAAATGGATTTTTAGTACATTTCAGCATTTAAATGGAGTAGGCCATGACAAAATGACATCCAGTCAATTTCAATAACACATTAATGTTATTTGTCTTTGTTATCAGTCGATCATAAGTTTATTCCTTTAGTTATTGTTTTTGTATTTTTATTGTTGTTGTCTTTTTCTAATTTATTTTGTTCTACAATGGAGGGAGGTAATTTTACAAACGAAGAAAAATGTGATATGCTGTCTTGCTACATCTGATGCCAAAGAAATTGTATAGAAGCCGAGCGTATGTATTCTAACAAATACCCAGAGCGGAGACAACCTGACAAGAGTATTTTTCGGCGTTTGTTATTTAATCTGAAAGAATATGGATCATTTAAGAAGCCTGCATTATCCCGACAAAAACCTTCCAATGAAGAAAACCAATACATTGTTCTACAATCTGTTATCGAAAATCCACAAACTTCTACCAGAGAAATTGAAGACCAGAATGGGGTAGCTAAATCTACAGCTCAGTTTATTTTAAGGAAAAATGAATTTAAGCCTTACAAATTCAGAATATGTCAAGGATTAAAACCGGGTGACGACGAACGACGTAGACATTTTTGTGAGTGGTATACCAGGATGTGTGATGAGAGTTTTAATTTTCCATATAAAGTGATTTGGTCTGATGAAAGTATGGTGACCAATAACGGTATTTATAACAGGCGCAATACACACTATTGGTCGCAACAAAATCCACGTGTTAATAGACTATCCAGACATCAAGTTCGCTTTGGGTTTAATATTTGGTGTGGGATTTTTGGTAGCAAGATTATAGGCCCTATTTTCTATAATAATTCCTTAACTTCCGAGCGGTACCTTGACATCTTGAGGCACGATTTAGAAGATGCCTTAGATGATTTACCGCTAGGCGCTGTGCAAGGCTGCTGGTTCCAACAAGATGGTGCCCCAGCCCATAACTCCAGAGAAGTTTGATGGAAAATACATTGGGACTTACAGTGAAACACCTTGGCCTCCAAGGTCCCCGGACTTAACTCCCTTGGACTTTTTCTTATGGGGCTACATAAAAAATGAGGTATTCAAAGAATGTTTTGACAACGAGGAACAATTACGTCAATCAGTACGAGCAGCGTTTAATAAAATTACTCCTGAAATGTTAAGTCGTGTTTTGGAGTCTACCGTGAGACGGGCGTACTTATGCCTAGAAAATGGAGGTCATTTATTCGAACATTTGTTATAGAATTTGTTTTTCATTAACTTGTTGGATTTAGTTGTTATGTTAAATGAACAGTTAGAGTTAGTAAATAAATAAACACATTAACTCGAACTTGTCAACCATTTTCTTTTGCCTTTCATCGTTCGGATCTCATGGCCTACTACAATAAAATACTAGAAATGTATTAAAAAGCCATTTTTCTGGATAAAAACATAAGTAACCGTATTGTATCGTACATCGTTGAATTCGCAATGAAAAGCACAACCTAATACTGTGTGTACTTTTTTTCCGTCCCATAAGAAAAATCAAAGTTGATGGTGGTTCCATGGAATCGAAACGCTGTAATGAAAATTTGTTAACGTTAATTTGGAGAGATTAAAAAGTGCCAATGGAAAAGTGTTTTCCGTTTTTTCATATCTTTTCAAATAGCTTTAAAAAATAATAAAAACGAAATCGCAATATTTCGGTTTTTCTCGGATATTTCCGGAACGGCTTGGAATTTTCAAATTTGTAAAACGGGATCTTGTTCGGTATCAAAATGCGCAACTTTTGTCTAATTTAACCGACACTGTATCTCTTATAGTTTCCGAGATCCCCATGCTGTGCATCCTTATCTTGGACACACTGTATATATATATATATATATATATATATATATATATATATATATATATATATATATATATATATATATATATATATATATATATATATATATATATATATATATATATATATATATATATATATATATATATATATATATATATATATATATATATATATATATATATATATATATATATATATATATATATATATATATATATATAATGAGCATTTTCTTAAAATACGCGGTGTTGTCACGTTTCGAAAAATGATACTTTTCTCAATTTTCTTAAATGATACACCTTGGATTGGATTTTTGGAATAGTACGGGTCTCTGCCTTACCGTTTTGGCTTAATTGGCAGATAAAATTAAAAACTGGGTATAAGATTTAAATTATTAGCTGCTTATCAACTTGTTCACATCCGTTTCAGAGCATTGTTAAGAAGTCATATTAAAAACAGAACATTAAGATTTGCACAATGTTGCCAAATTTGGCAAATTACTTATTTCTACATTTAAACGTCTACGTGGAATGATGACAAATGATTAACACTAACTACTAATACATACTACTTACAGGTAAAATTAATTCAATTAGTTTTTCAATATGTCCGCCGTTTTGAAGAATACAAGTAGTATATGCTATTTTTTACAAGGGGTCAAATCTGGACTTCTCGCTGGCCAGAAAATGGTTTTGTTTTGTCGAATTCACTCTCTGAAATTTTTGTTTAAAAAATGATGATAAGGAGCGCCAACTTGCTGAAAAATTAAATTTTGATGCTCTTTTTTACGGATCTGCGCCCCTGCTTGTTTAATTCAAAACACATTTTTATTTTCTGAACTTCAATAAAGTGTTTTTTCAAATATGCTATCTAAAAAATGCCTATTCATCATTATTTTGCAAAATTCCAGTCTTAAGTTGAAACCTGGTTCTTGTAGTTTTTGTATTGATGTGAATTTAAATTGCTTATAACTGTTAATTTTTAAACATGTCTGAAGTGTGGTTCGTCTTACGTCTACATCTAAAACAGCAAGGCGTATGGAGATCTCTGGAGTATTTTCAAAATGCATATTATATGCATAAAATATGCATATAGCTGCATATTTTCATTAAAAACCGTTCGGCTACTACTTTTTTTCACTAAAATATTGACATTTGTTCGAAACTGCTGGTATATTTTGGCAATTTTTGTTTCCTGTCAATCGCCTATAGGGACATTTGGCTCTGAGAGCAAGAGCCGGACTTTTGTTATTGGCGATGTAACATTCTAATAGGTCAAATTTTTCCTTCTTCGTATACATTATACAAAATAGACTCAACAAAAATGCAACTGAATAAAATAAATACAAATTAGTGTAAGTCCAAAAAAATACGCTTAAAATTTTATAATACACTGATACCTGTCAATAAATTAGTAAATCAGTAACGGTAGGTGCCAAGGGATTGCCGTTGGTGCAGAAATGATCACCGTCGAGAAAAATGTTTTTTTTGTTTGTTTGTCCGTTCTCCGTTTTCCGTTCTCGTCTTTTGATTTTTCCTGAATAACTTTCGAACGGTTAGAGCTACAAAATTGAAATTTGCCTCCTTTTTAACCATCCACGAGGCACATAAGCTTATAAGAAATGGCCCTGATCCGATCCCCGTATCCATCTTTTTTTCGCAATTTTCGACTGTTTTTTCCTTGCTATGAATCACGATAAGCGTCCGAAATTTGAAGTAATCGACTTCATATTTGGCACATATATGCAGCTTTGCCCTGTGACGGAATCTATTGAAAATGGGGGTCTGGGGGGTCGGGAAGTATTCTAAAATAATAAAAAATCGGGCGTGCAAGGGTCTACAAAAAACATCATTTTTCAAAAACTGTTTACGTGATCAAAAAAATTCTTGAACCAGAAGAAGAAGAAGATACGGCTCTATAAACTTTTGTTCGTGACAATTTTTCAAGAATATATAAGGTGCGCCGCAAATTCAAAAAAACTAAAAAACTATTGAAAATTTTCAATAATTTCAAATCTGTGTTTTAGATGTCAGTTTCGTTTACATGACGATATAGTCCACCTAGACAAACTTTTGTATTTACGGTTTTTAAGTATTGTACAGGGTGTTCACCATATTCCGTGCAATATTAAAAAACATAATAAGTACTCCATATTTGCAGCTACCGACTTCATACTTAGGAGAGAAGTTGAAGTCTGGACCCGCATTTACACTCATCTGATCGGAAAAATTTTATATCCGTAATACGTGGGAGACCCGGCGCTATAACTTTTGTTTCACGCATTTTTTCGATCATATACCAGGTGTTTTAGTTATGGACAAAAATCTAAAAGACCCTGAAAATTGTTCTTTTAGACAGTAAATTCTCAACAGTAAATCAAAATTCGTACAAACAATAGCTAATCGGTTCAAACAGTGTTATACGCCGTATCAAGGGCTACAATTTTTGTATTTACGGTTTTCGTCTATCGGATACGCTGTTCGA